ATCAAACAGGACAAAGAGATCCTGTATATTTTATATAACTTTTTTTAAAGGGTGGTTAAAAAGAAAAAAAAATCAGGTGTGGTGGTACACACTTTTAATTCCAGCACTCAGAAGGCAGAAGTAGATGGATCTCTCAGAGATTGAGGCCAGCCTGGTCTACATAGTGAGCTCCAGGCAGGCTGGGCTAGGGAAAAAAAAAAGAATTAGCCTTAGAAGGACATACTAACAATTTAAAATTTGAATTTTTGCCAGTCCTGGTAGCACATGATTTTAATCCCAGCACTCTGGAGGCAGAAGCACAGGCAGGTGAATCTCTGTGAGTTTGAGCCCAGCCTGGTCTACATAGTAAGTTCCAGGCCAGCCAGGGCTACACAATGAGACCACACAAAAATCAGTAGCCTTCCTATACACCACCAGCAAATACATTGAGAAAGAAATCAGGGAACCATACATGATAGCCTCAGAAACCATAAAATATCTTGGAATAAATCTAACCAAGGAAGTAAAAGACCTGTATAATAAAAATTTTAAGACACTGGGGCTAGAGAGATGACCCAGCAGTTAAGATCACTGGCTGCTCTTGCAGAGGACTTAGGTTCCGTTCCTAGCACCCACATGGTTGTGGCTCACAACCACCTATACAACTCCAGCTCCAAGAGATCCAATGCCCTCTTTTGGCCTCCATGGGCATTGTATAATATGGATGTACTTACATTCATCCAGGCAAGACACTCATACACATTAAAAAATAATAAAAGGTTTTAAGACATTGAAGAAAGAAATTGAAAGTACCAGAAGATGGAAAGATCTCCCAGGCTCATGGATCAGTAGGATTAATATAAAAATGGCCAGATTCAGGCTGGAGAGATGGCTTAGCAGTTAAGAGTCCTGACTGCTCTTGCAGAGGACCCAGGTTTGATTCCTAGCACCCACATGGCAGCTATGAACCATCCTTAACTCCAGTTCCAGGGGAATCTGAAGCCCTCTTCTGACCTCTGCGGCATTGCATGACACGGGTGCACTCACATACATGCAGGCAATACACTCATACACATGAAATAAAAATAATAAATATGTTTTAAAAATGGCCAGATTCAATACAATTCCCATTAAAATTCCAACACAGTTCTCCACAGAAATTGAAAAAATAATCTCAAACTTCATATGGTAACACAATAAAACCCTGGACAGCCAAAACAATTCTGAACAATCTAAGAACTGCTAGAGGTATCAACATTCCTGATTTCAAATTATATTACAGAGCTATAGTAATAAAAACAGCATGAAAGTGACATAAAAACAGGAACACTGATCAATGGAACAGAATCAAGGATCTATAAATTCACACAATTACAGCCACCTGAGTTTTGACTAAGGGGCCATATACATTGGAGAAAAGACAGCATGTTCAACAAACGGTGCTGGTCAAACTAGATAGCCACATGTAGAAGAATGAAACTAGATCCTTATCTCTCATGCTGCACAAAACTCAACTACAAATGGATCAAGGACCTCAATATAAGACCTGATTCCCTAAATTAGACAGAGGAGAAAGTAGGGAATACACTAGAACTTAAAGGCATAGGAAATCTTTCTGAACAGGATTCTGATAGTACAAGCATTAAGTCTAACAATTGACAAATGGGACCTCACGAAGCTAAAAGCTTCTGTGCAGCAAAGGACACCACCTTCAAGTGAAGAGGCAACCTACAGAATGGTAAAAAAATCTTTCACCAGCTGTACCTCTGACAGAGGGTTAGTATCTAGAATATTCAAATAACTCAAAAACAAACAAACAAACAAACAAACATCCCAACTAAAACTTGGGGCAAGGAGCTAAACAGAGTTCTCAAAAGATGAAATGCAAATGGCTGAGGAATATTTTTTTAAATGTTCAACGTATTTAGCCATAAGGGAAATGCAAATTAAAACTACTTTGAGATTTCATCTTACCTTGGTCAGAATGGCTAAGATCCAAAAAACAAACTGTGGGGAAAGGGCAACATTACTCACCGATGATAGGAGTGCAAACTGATGCAGCCACTAAGGAAATCAGTGTGGCGAGCCCTCAAAAAGCTAGACATAGATCTATCACATGATCTAGTGGTACCATTCATGGTCATAAACTAAAGAACTCTGTATCCTACTACAGAGATACCTGCTCACCCATGTTCATTGCTGCTCTATTCACAATAGCCAGGAAATGGAAACAAGCTAGATACCCATCAACTGATGAATGGATAATGAAAATGTGATACATTCACACAATGGAATGTCATTCAGCTATTAAGAAAAACAAAACTATGAAATTCACAGGTAAATGGATAGAACTGGAAATAATCATCCTGAGGGTGGTAACCCAGACCGAGAGAGACAAACATTGCATGTTCTTGCTCATAAGTGAATGATGCTAGCTTTGAATCTTTAAATGTGCATGTTTCAACTGGATAATCCATAGAGGTCAGGAAACTAGTAAGGAGCCGCACTACAGAAACTCCTTAAAGTATATATATGTACAATATAAAAAGAGTTTAAATGGAATCACCCCATGAGGGGGGCAACAATGCCTATCAGATACCATAGGCTAGCAAATAAAAAGCCCAGTGCCAGAAATGGACTTCCTCATTTGAGGCTATTTATCAGGGGTCCTATAACCCCTTAAGTAATACTTGCTATTGCTCTTGCTTTTAGTTACCCACTAGAACTTGACAGTAAGGCCTTACTGCTGAAGACACTACATACCTGAGTCATAGAACAAAGAGAAATCAAGCTGGTGCTGACCTTAAAGCTTATTTCTACTGTCTAGCCTTTATAGTGCTGGAAGGTGCTATTCATGCTACCAGAAGAGAAAAGTAATCATCAACCTTGCCCAGCTGTGAATCCTGTGAGCAACAATCACCAGTGACCTGGTATGATATGCCCACTGGTACAATAGTGGCAAAAAAGTTATGTGAGTAACCAACCACTTCTGATTGGATTTAAGGTTTACTTTACAAGATGGAGCCCATATCTGGCACTGTTATCAGGTCTCAGAACCTGTGGCTAGACAAGTCACATGCTATAGGGGAGAACATACTACTATTATTCTGCTAAATAGACATAGTATTACATGGATTCCTAATGACTTGTTATATTCATAGATTAATACACCTTTCAGCTCTCACCAGAAAAGCTTTTTCTTGCAGCATATGGCAAATTAACCCCGTGACCCACAACTGGTCAATATGCATAGAATAAGAAATTTCAGTGTGCTTAGCTCTGAATGGGATACCAGTATCAAACCTTTGCCTCTCAAGGCTCAGGGATCATTGTGGAAGACAGGGTGGAAAGATTGTAAGGGCCACGAGCAGAGCAGTGGATGACTACAAGGAAACAGTTATGTGAGTAATGAACCACTTCTGATTGGATTTAAAGTTTACTTCACAAGATGGAGCCCATATCTGGGCACAGTTATTCAGACTGACAGGTAGTTACCCATATGAACTCACAGCAATTGTGACAACATGCACAAGACCTATGTAAGGTCAAGCCAGACAAATTCCCAGAACAGAGGGAGGTAGGTAGGTAAGAAGCACCAATCCTAGCTGAGGAATTTTTGGTGACTGATAGCTGCTTGGAGAGGGAGAGTCAATTATCTTTAAGGGTGTGATGCTGGGTAGGTTAACCAGGCTCTAGGGAATGGACTCATACTGAAGAGAATTTAGGGACACAAATTAAACTTGATAGGCCTTTAAAAAATAATAGAGGACATGAAATTGGGCAGGGGAAGTAGTAAGGGAGGGTACAGATAGGGGAGGGGCTGAATATAATCAAAATACATGAAATGCAATAAAAAACTTTAAACTCTTGAGTTTTCAAATATAAAGACAAGATATTATTAAAAACAGACAAACCAAAATGAAGTAAAAAGAATGTAAGTTTCATATCTTTCCTTAAGGAAACCAAAGAAATCTTCAAGTATCTTGTCCATGTGAAGCAGAGGCTGGAAGCATTGAATCCCTAAATTTCACTAGAAATCATGTTTTTTAGAATATGAAAACATCTACATCCTATGACAATTTTATATTTATAATTGTCCTCAGGGTAATTAAATGATCATTATTGATATGATTACTGTTATTAGATATTTGGTGAAATAAGCATTAATTCTTTAAGATGAGACTATGAACACATATTTAAAAAAAAATTTTTTTTTCATTTTTTTTTCTCATTGCAGCTGGTTTGTTTGTTAGTTTGTTTGTTTGAAGCAGGGTCTCCCTGTAGCCCCGGCTGTCCTGGAACTCACTATGTAGACCAGGCTGGCCTTGAACTCACAGAGATCCGACTGCCTCTGCCTCCCAAGTGCTGGGACTACAGGCATGCGCCACCACGCCCGGCCTATGAACACATATTTTTAAAAAATTGACACAGCTATATGATTCAAAATAGCCAGGATATATGTGCCAAGCTTTATTTTCTTTTAAATTACTTGAGTAGAACAAATGCTCTTCAAAATGTTAAACTGGCTTGCATGTTACAGAAGAAAAAGAAACTGAAGTGAAATTGTAGGAATTGCTGAACTTCAGACAAATGTTTCTTCAAAACAAGAGATATTAGTTCCTAAAAGATTCTTCTAAAGTTAAAAAAAAAGATTGAGAAAAACATTAATCCATTGGGATTATTACATCTTTTAAAAACTACACGTTTCTTAATAGACACGTTTACATTCACACAGTTCAAGCCCATATAAAACTCAGGAGACAGCACTGATGTCTAAACTAAATGAAACAATAAAAACTTCTTCATATTAAGAGCCCTTTAAAACCTAAATCTACCTTTATTTTCTAAGAAACTTTAAAAAAAGAACAGTTAATTTGAAAATAAAAGGTTGTACAGGCCACTTTCAAGAAAAGAAAAACATTATGTTCATATTGTGCCAACAGCTAGTGACATTAACTAAAACCTAGTGACAATACATGAGTTCAGAGCACCAGCCGGTCCTTTCCGCCCTCCTGAATTACCTGACCGATGGAAGTTTGGTTTTGTTGTTTCAGAAAGCATTGTTTTTTACATTCCATCAGTTGTTCAAGGTCACGCCACATTTTTGCTTGCTTCATATTTGGACCATGACTTTCTCGTACAGTTTTTTGTTTTTCCCGGAGTTTCTATCAAAAAGAAAAAAGAATAGTAATAAAACCTTCGTTTCGAGGATTTACATCTATCATTGTGAGACAGAAGAATATAGTATGTTTTGTGCATTTGATGAGTAATAATTAAGCAACTATGTTCTCCTATAGTATGTTAAAACTAAGATCATAGGGGCTACAGTGATGGCTCAGTGGTTAAGAGCACTTGTTACTCTTGCAGAGGACCTGGGCACCCAAATGGTGGTTAACAACCATCTGTAACTCCAGTTTCAGGGGATCTGATGCCCTCTTCTGACTTCCATAGGCACTGTACCACATGGGTGCACTTATACACATGCAGGCAATACACTCATACACGTTGAAAATAAAATAAAATAGGGGCTGGAGAGATGGCTCAGCGGTTAAGAACACTGAATGTTCTTGCAGAAGACCCAGGTTTGAATCCCAGCACCCACATGGCAGCTAACAACTGTCTGTAACTCCAGTTCCAGGGGATCTGACAGCCTCTTCTGTCCTCTGTGGGCACTGCACAACACGGGTGCACTTACCTACATGCAGGCAATACACGCAAATGCATAAAAATAATAAATATTAAAAAAATAAAATAAAACATAAAAAAAACCGCCGGGTGTGGTGGTGCATGCCTTTAATCCCAGCACTCGGGAGACAGAGGCAGGGGGATCTCTGGGAGTTTGAGGCCAGCCTGGTCTCCATGGTGAATCCAGGACAGCTGGGCTACAGGGAGACCCTGTCTCAAAAAGACAAAAAAAAAAAAAAAAAAAAAAAACCCATAAAAAACCCTAAGATTTATGAAAAGTTAATTTTAAGTTAATTTAAGGTGCATGTAACAACCTGGAGTTAAAAACAATAGGAAAATATAAAAGGAAGGGGAAGTAGCCAGGTGTGTGGTGCATGCCTTGGGAGGCAGAGGCAGGTGGATATCTTAAGTTCAAGGCCAGCATACATATTAATTTCCAGGACAGCTGGGGCTACAGGGAGACCCTGTCTCAAAAAAGACCAAAAAAAAAAAAGGAAGGGAAGAAAACAAAAGAACCAGAAAAGCAGACTAGTATGATGGATAGAATGAAGTTTTAACCCGAGCTCTGTCACCAGTTATGAACAAGGGTCTCTGGACCTCAGTTTTCTCAACTGCCAATTATAGTTAATGATAATAAGGGACAATAAAAGAATGTGCCTTATAATATTTACAATATTATTTTTTCCCATGATAATCATTATGGAAATACTTGATAAACTATAACGTGTTATACATGATATTACTGTTATTAAATGTTATATTCATGTATATTCTCAAATCAAGTATATTATCAAACCACATGTATATGTATTTTTTGTTGTTGTTTTGGTATTTTTGAGACAGGGTCTTCCTGTAGTCCCACCTGGCCTGGAACTATCTATGTAGACCAGGCTGGCCTTGAACTCAGAGAGATCCACTACCTCTACCATCCCACACACATACACTCTGAAAGGCTAACTTTATACTATGTCACAAATCACAAGGAACAGATGAACACTCTTTGGAGAAATGGCTGATTCTAGGTTTAAAGCAGGAAATGTACAGGATGAGCCTGGAATACTCTGTCATAGCAGAAAATAAAGAAGCCATCAAAGTTTACTAGGACTTCCTCAAAATGATCTAGAAGCCAAGGTGGTGGCATATGCTGGCAATCTCAGCACTTAAGAGGCAGAGGTAGGAATAAGAGTTTGAGGCCAGCCTGGGTTACATAGCAAGTTCTAGGCTAGAAAGGGCTATATGGTAAGACCTTGCCTAAAAATACCACAAAGACATAAGACTCAGGAGCTGGGTCACCAAGATGGTTTAAAGGGTAAAAGCATTTGCTGTGCAAGTCTAACAACCTGAGTTTGATCCCTGGATCCAATGGTGGAAAGAGAACAGATTCCCAAAAGTTGTCTTTGACTTCCACATGCATGCCATGATACGCTCACACACACACAACATACACACACACAAATACATTTTTAAAATTTTATTTATTTATTTATTTAAAAAAGGTTTTTTTTTGTTTTTTTTTGTTTTTTTTTTTTTTGAGACAGGGTCTCATTATATAGCCCTGACAATCAGCCTGGAAAACTCCCTATGTAGACCAAACTAGCCTTAAACTCAGAGAGATACATCTGCCTTTGTTTCCTGAGTGCTGGGATTAAAGGTGTGTGACACCATCCCTGGCACAAACACATTTTTGAAAAAGATTCAAAAGGGGCTGGAGAGTTGGCTCAATGGTTAAGGCATTGACTACTCTTGCAGAGGACCAGGGTTCAGTTCCCAGTACCTACATGGTAGCTAACAACTATCTGTAACTCCAGTTCCAGGGGATCCAACGCCCTCTTCTGGCCTCTGCAAGCACTGTATAACATGGGTGCATTTACATGCAAGAAAACATTCATACATAAAATAAAAATTTTTTTAAAAAGGAAAAAGAGATTCAGAACTGGCTTCCCAAGGCTTCTACGGCTCAAAGATGAGACTATTTGCACATTGTTGGGAATAATAATTACACTAGATAGAAAATTATCAAAATGTTATCTGGGAGTCATAAAGATACTTTTGAAGGATGACAGTCAACTCATCATTTTGAAATAAATCAAACTGTTATTCTGCTTTTCTTATATGAACAGCACCATAACTCATTACAGATTAGTTGCTCTTTATACAATTATTCCAGTCAATAAATGCAGGGACACTATAATTAGAATGTCACTTTTGCCCGCTCTAGTGACTTATGAATCTGGGGATCATCAATGACTTCCTACAATGACAAAGAAAGCCTGATAGAGGACATATGACCACCTACGAAGCATTCTGACCAAAAATCAAAACATTTAATCAAAGCTTTAGCTCTATCCATTGATTCGCAGGATATACTGGGGACAGAAGAATGTGGTATACACAGAGATATCATTCAGAATTCAAAATGTTTTAGAACAAATGATCAATCTTTGTTTTCTTGTAACGAATAATTGATCATGAAAAAAATAGTAACCTGGAGAATCAACTTAAAGATTTATTAACTAGCTGGACATGGTGATGCACACCTTTAGTCCCTGCACTGGGAAGCAGAGGCAGGCCAGGCCCTTTGAATTTAAGGTCATCCTGGAACATAGTAAATTCCAGGCCAGCCAGGGCTATGTAGTTAGGCCCTGTTTCAAACAAACAAACAAATAAACAAACAAACAAACAAATTAAAGATTGGCTATGAATTTATAGAAGGCAGGTGATGAATTCATTATGTTTTCTTTACATTTTTAAATGATTTTGGAATTTCTGCAATTTTTTTTTCCCAAAAATCTAGAGAACAGGAACTGGAGAGATGGCTCAGTAGTTGAGTGCTTCCTGCTCAAGACATGGGTAGAGAACCCATGTCAGGTGGCTCACAACCACCTGTAACTCAGGCTCCAGAGGACCTGACACACTTTTCTGGCCACTAGGGGTATCTTCCACATGTGGCATATATTCACATAGACATATACACAAATATACATAACTAAAAATAAAAAAAAAATCTAAAAATATACTCATATTTAAGTATGTTCATAAGAACATACATATTAGAACCACTCCCTTGTCTTCTATGCGATGTCTTACTGAAGTTCTCTTTTAGAACATCACATATGGGCTTCTAGGAGCTAATTTAGTTTTTATGTCAAAACATACACGTGTATGTTAAATAATAATTAAAAATTTTTTTATTATTATTATTATTTTTTTGAGACAGGGTCTCTCTGTAGCCCCAGCTGGCCTAGAACTCGCTTTGTAGACCAGGCTGGCCTTGAACTCACAAAGATCCTCCTGCCTCTGCTTCCTGAATGGTGGAATTAAAGGCATGTACTACCATGCCTAGCTTTTTTATTATTTTCATTTTATGTGTATGAGTGTATTGTCTACACGTATGTGAGTGCACCCGTGTTGTGCAATGCCATGGAAGTCAGAAAAAGGCTTCAGATTCCCCTGGAACTGGAGTTAAGGACAGTTCATAGTTGCCATGTGGGTGCTGGGAATCGAACCTGGGTCCTCTGCAAGAGCAGTCAGTGCTCTTAACCACTGAGCCATCTCTCCAGCCCCATTAAATAATAATTTAAACCAGATGATGTATATAAAGATGAATAATTTTGTCATAATCAATTTCCTGAGTCAACCCAAAAGCTAAACTTTAAAAATGCACTGAATTAAAATAAAACCAATTTTTTACTTTAGTACTTTAAGAATGTACAGGCATGCATATATATATAAAACTTTGTTTTCTGGTTGGGGTGTTGAGGCAATGTCTCATGTGTCCAGGTTACCTCAAGCTTACTATGTAGCCAAAGATGACTTTGAACTTCTGATCTTCCTGCCTCTACCACTCAATTGCTGGGATTACAAATATGTGGTATGTGTCACTTTTTTTTTAACAGACATGATGACATATAGTCCATCAATAATATGCAAAAAAATTGTAGTACTACTTAACTATGATATTGAAAATTTGACAACCATGTTAGAAAACTTAATAAGAACATTCAATTTTTTCTTTTTTTGGTCTTTTTGAGACAGGGTCCCCCTGTAGCCCCAGCTGGCCTGGAACTCACTACGTAGACCAGGCTGGCCTCAAACTCACAGAGATCAGCCTGCCTCTGCTTCCCTGAGTGCTGGGATTAAAGGCATGCACCACCACACCTGGCTCAATGTTAAATAATGAAACTATTGAACTACTTCAATAGTGAAGGAACTTAAGAGACTGATCAACTAATAGTAATATATACACTCTTATTAGACCCTCAGTGAAACAAATTAAAAATTATGAGGCAAACAGTAAAAATTTAACATTGACTAGGCTTAAAGAAACAGGAAAAAAATGAGGTAAAGAATGGTTAACCTTCATTATCCAAGATGGGCTTAAAATGACTGAAGGGCTGGCAAGATGGCTCAGTGGCAAAAGGTGCTTGCTGACAAGCCTGATGACTTGAGTATGATCCCTAGAATGCACATGGCATAAGGAGAAAACTGACTCTTGAAGTTGTTCTCTGACTTTCATATGCATGCTGTGGCAGTCTCTCTCTCTCTCTCTCTCTCTCTCATACATGCACACACACACACACACACACACACACAAATAAAATAAAATGAGTAAGAAATAAAAATAAGTAAAATTACTGAAGATGTTAGCACACTGTAGTCATTTTTTATTTACCTATTTCAGTTTAATAAAGAAATAAACTCTAAAGTTGTTGCAGGCTTGTACAGATCTACAAATTTAGGGCTGCAGTCACTTCCCTGAGTTGTTAATAAATACAGCTCTTTTGTTCTTTCTAAGAATGACAGCTAGTATCTAAAATTACTTCAGAATGTGTTGCTATATGATGTCAATTACAATTAACTGATTGTGGTCATTTAATCCTACTGTAATGGCCTTTACCACCTCTTATAACAGGAGTGACAGGCCCAGAGAACTGAGAAAACAAGACTTGATCACATGCTTCTATTTCAGTAGCCCTCCCATCATTCTGGAGCTGAGTATTTTAAATAGGGTACTAGAGCTTAGATTTTAAATGCTATCCATGTAAAGTCTTTGAATCTTGGTCTCCAGGATGGTGCTGTGGGGAGTCGGCAGAAACTTTAGGATGTGAGGCCTAGAAACAGGCCCTGAGGTCACTGGGTGTGGGCCCTGGATGGGACTGCAGGATCCAGTTCTTTCCTCTTCTGGCCATGAGGTGGGCAGTTTGCTCTGCTCTGAGCCCCTTGTCACTGCCATCCAGCACATACATCAGAGGACTATAAGCAATGGAGGTGCTTTTATGTGATCTGGAACCTCTGAAATCATGAGCCAGAGGTATTTCTTCTTAGAAAGTTTATTATTTCAGGATTTGTTATAATGCCAGAGAGTTGACTAATACATAAAGCTTTTCAACTGTTTGTATTAAATGAACCAATGCTTGCAAAGGGCTTAGGTTAGTGCCTAGGTCATGGTAAAAAAAAATTGTTTATTAAATAAAATAAATGAATACATTTATACATGAAAACTGTGTAGTACAGAGCCTTATGAAATCTTTGTTATTTGAACTAGATGAGGGTTGAGATGAAACTCAGTAGTAGAGAATGAGTACAGCCCTAGGTTCAGTCCTAAGCACCACAAAAACATCCTCAGCTAGAGGATTCTTTTCTTCCAAAATCCATTGTAGGGGCTGGAGAGGTGGCTCAGTGGTCAAGAGCACTTGCTGTTCTTCCAGAGGACTCAAGTTTGGTTCCCAGCACCCATGATGGGTGGCTCACAACCACCAGTAACTACAGCTCCAGGGAATCTGACACTTTCTGGCTTCTTTTGGCACCCACACTCATGTGTACACACATACACAAAATTAAAAATAAAACAAACCTTTTTTGTTGTTTTTGTTTGATTTTTAAATTAATTAATTAAAAAAAAATTTTTTTTGGTCTTTTTGAGACAGGGTCTCCCTGTAGCCCCAGCTGTCCTGGAACTCACTATGTAGACCAGGCTGGCCTTGAATTCACAGAGATCCGCCTGCCTCTGCCTCCCAAGTGCTAGGATTAAAGGCGTGAGCCACCACGCCCAGTAAATTAATTCATTTTTATTATGTGTATGAGTATTATGCCTGCATATATTTAAGTGGTCCCATGTGTGCATTAGCTATCCTGGAACTGGAATTCTGGAGTGTTATTAGTCACCATGTAGGTGTTGGGTACTGAACCCAGGTCCTCTTCAAGAGCAGCCAGTGCTCTTAACTGCTGAGCCTTCTCTCCAGCCCACACCACCCCCTACCTCCCGACACACCTTTTTTTGGTTTCTTTAAAATAGGGCCTCCCCTGTAGCACCAGCTGGCCTGGAATTCACTATGCAGACCAGGCTGGCCTTAATTTCACAGAGATCTGCTTGCCTCTGCCTCCTGAGTGCTGGGAGTGTGCCACCTCGCCTAGCATAAAATAAATCTTTTAAAAACCATTGTTAGGCTGGGGAGGTAACTCAATGGTACAGCATATAGGAGACACTAGGGCTTATACATAGACCTCAAAAAAGAGAGAGAGAGAGAAAAAAAAAAAAAACCAAAACAACCAATCAAAAGATGAAGGAACAAGTGATTTGTGCGTATTTGCTGTAGTGCTGCAGATCTAACCTTGGGTCTCACTATGCAGGGATTCTACCAATGAGCTATACCTCCAGCGCCTAAATTCTTTTAAAAATTTTATTTTAGGGACTGGAAAGATGGCTCAGCAGTTAAGAACACTGACTGATCTTGTAGACAACTCAGGCTTGGTTCCCAGTACAACATGGCACCTAATAACAATCCAAAACTCTAGTTTCAGGGGATCCCACACCTCCCCTGCCTTCTGTAGACATTACATGCATATGTGGTGTACTTACATATATGCAGGCCAAGTACTTATACAAATAAAATTTAAATTTCACTTTTTAGTAATTTTTTATTACATTTATTTGTGTCTAAGTGCTTGTGTGTAAGTGCACAATGGATGCACATCAGAGGACAATTTGCAGGAGTCAATTCTCTCCTTCTACCACATGGGTTCTGGAGACTGAACTCAGATCATCAGGTTTGACAGCAAGTGCCCTTATCTGCTGAGCCTTCTTACCACTCCCAATAAATTTTTAAGAAAGGAATTAATAATTCCCTCAAACTATAACCTTTAAAAAAGAATGACGATGTTATAACTATGAACTAATAGACTGAATGAGAATAATTAAAAAAATAATTCTTACCTTTCCAAGGTTTTCTTGTTCAGTAATATTTTTGGTATACTGTTCCCTAGGGAGTCAACACAATGATTTAATTTCAATGTATTTCAATTGATTTAATCATTCAGCTAAACTAAATTAACATATCTATCTAAGTATATTAAGCAATACAGTTTAAGGTAGAATCAGACTGAAACCCATTATCAAATACTTTGTTTTTCCTCATGTTTAGTCAGTTCTTTCAGTAAACAGTAATTTAAGGGAGGGCAGGAGAAGGCAAAATGTTACATAGGAAATTCTATTAAGAAAATGAAGTTGCTAAGTACTATTTCTGGCTAATCTACCCAATGGCAAACCATTTGTTTACATTATACTTCATATTTTAAGATGTTTGCAGAAAGAAGGGATATACATTTTAAATAAACAGTTTTTAAAATAGTATCTAATTCTGCAATTCTACTTCTGGGAAGTCATCCTATAGAAAAAGTCCCATAACAATGAACATAAAAGCAAAGGCTATTTACTTCATCAATGCATGGAATACTGAAAGCCTGTAAACTAAAATGCATGAAGGAGAAATGTTTAATTAAGTAGGTTATGGTATATTGGTTCAGAGGAATAATATAGAGCTTTGAAAAGGAATGAGATAAAACACCAGATATACCTTTAATACCAGCACTCAGAAGGTAGAGGCAGGTGGATCAATATCAGTTCAAGGCAAGCCTGGTCTACCATAGGGAGTTCCATGTCAGTGAGGGCTATATAGTGAGAGCTTGTCTCAAAAAAAAAGATAATTCTACACATACTCAAGTGGAAAAATTTAATTATTGACATATTTATTATTTTTATATATGTACATCTAGTGTCATATATACACATATTTCCCATGCATATGCTAATATATACATATACAAATGCATTGGCAAATGTATGGGAAAAATTATGGCATGATGTAACAATATAGGCAATGTAACAATCAAGGCATTAGCAGTAGACTTTGCTAAAGTCTGAGGTATGTCAATATGGACCACATTCAATTTTTTTGTTTTTTTGAGACAGGGCTCCTTATGTAGCCCTGGCTGGCCTGGAACTTGCTATGCGGACAAGGAAGGCCTCAAACTCACAAAGACCCACCTGCCTCTGCTTCCCATGTGCTGGGATTAAAGTTGTATACTATCATGCTGGGCAAAAACTGGGAGTGGGGGGCAGGGAACAGGATCACCTGTCATCCATCCAGTATGACTTCAGACTTAAGTGTGTAACCAAGGCTGGTCTTGAACTCCTGATCTCTTAAGTGCTGGAATTTACAGGGGTGTGCCATCATGCTTTCAATTTTTTTTTTTTTTTTTGTCTTTTTGAGACAGGGTCTCCCTGTAGCCCCAGCTGTTGAAACTCCAGGCAGGAACCTAGGGGTAGGAGCTGCAGCAGAGAACATGGAAGAACTCTAGAACACTGCTTACTGGCTTGCTCCTCTAGCCTGCTTGCTTGGGTTTTTTTTTTTTTTTTTTTTTTTTTTGAGACAGGGTCTTCCTATAGCCCCGCTAGCCTGGAACGCAATATGTGGATCAGTTTGATCTCGATATCACAGGGATCCACCTGCCTCTGCCTCGGCATGTGCTGGGATTAAAGGTGTGCATCACCCAGCATTGTTTTGATTTAAAAATATTTATTATTTATTATTTTATGTGTATGAGTATATTGCCTGCATGTATGTAAGAATATCCATGTCATGCAATGCCTGTGGAGGTCAGAAGAGGGGGTTGGATTCCCTGGAACTGGAGCTATGGATGGTTATTAGCCATGTGGGTGCTGGAACCGAACCCTGGTCTTCTGTAAGAGGAGCCATTGCTCTTAACTGCTGAGGCATCTTTCCAGCCCATTTTGATTTCTTGACACAGGATCTCACCATACTGCTTAGGCTAGCCTCAAACTCACTATGTATTATAGGCTGTTCTTCAAACCACAATCCTTCTGCCTCAGTCTCCTAAGTGCTGAGCTTACAGGTATGTGTCCCCATGTCCAGCCCGAAAGCATACTATTTCATAATTAGTTTTTGTTTTTACAAGTTCTTTTTTTTTTTTTTTTTTTTTTTTTTTTTTTTTTTTGTCTTTTTGAGACAGGGTCTCCCTGTAGCCCCAGCTGTCCTGGAACCCACTATGTAGACCAGGCTGGCCTTGAACTCACAGAGATCCGCCTGCCTCTGCCTCCCAAGTGCTGGGACTACAGGCGTGCGCCACCACACCCGGCTAAGTTCTTCTTTTGTAAGCTAAAAAAATCCATCTTAATGTAAAAATCAAAAATAACATTTTAAAATAAAAGTATAATTATATTTTGAGCTTGGTGAGGCAGTACATGCCTTTAATCCCAGCACTCAGGAGCCAGAGGTAGGTGGATCTCTGGGAGTTCAAGGCCAGCCTGGTCTACAGAGAGAGAACCTGTCTCAAAAACAAAACAAAACAAACAAAAAGTGTAATTATATTTTAATATTTTGTAAGAAAAAAAGGCAGATTTTAAATGTTAAGGATAGATTGAAGGGTAAGAACTAAGGCACAAACAGCAAGGAGGAAGAGACTTGAGAGCTTAGATTTGAATGGAAAAAAGTTGTTTTTGTTTCTCTGGAGAATTAAAAAAGATAAAATAGAGGACCCAAGTTGGGTTCCCAACACCCACATGGTGGTTAACAGCCATTTGTAACTCTAGTTCCAGGGGATCCAACATTCTCTTCTGTCCTCTGCAGGCCCTACATACATGCAGGCATAACATTCATCACATAAAATTTTAAAAATGATAAAAAGGAAATAATAAACTACAAAGAAGAAAATATAGCAGCATAAGCAGAGTAAGCTCACACATCTGAACTAAGCGGGAGCAAAAGTGCATCATCAGAGAGAACAACAATGGAAGTGCCGATGCCGAGCAGGAGCCAGGGTGGACTCTGATACAGGGGTGAGGCAGAGAATGAGCACGGTTTTGACAAACCTTAATTTTGCCCGTAAAATTCATAAAACACTAAGTCAAACTGCTTCCTTTTCCAGTTCTCCGAAGGAAACAGAAGGTGACTTACATATGACTCAAGAAGAACATATGGCTATGGCTCACATGGTTTAAGAAATTCATTCTTACCTGAGACCTGAGAACTGTCCAAATCATTTTAGCATTTCTATTTATATAAAAATCTCTCAAGGGGCTGGAGAGATGGCTCTGGCTAAGAGCATTGGGTAGTCTTGCAGAAGACCTACGTTTCAGTTCGCAGCACCCATGTGGTGGCTAACAACCATCCTAAATTCTAGTTCCTGGGTCCTCCTCTGACCTATGTGAGGCACTGCATGACAAGGGTGCACTTACAAACATGTAGGAAGAACACTCATACACATAAAATAAAAATAATAAATACAAATAAAAACCAAAAGAATTTATTTTAAAAATTTCTTAAGAAACCAATAGGTTTACCATGTTATAAACATTCAAACCTAATTTTTTATCTATTCACTGAATTTATTTAAGAAATAATCATGGTGCTGAAGATGTAGCTCAGTGGTAGTGTTGTAGCCTTAAGCTAGGATGAATAAGGCCCTGAGTTTGACACCTGGCACCACAAAAAAAAAAAAGGGAAAAAAAAAAAAAAAAAAAAGACCAAACAACAAAGATATATAGGGGCTTTGTTCTCCAGAGGAACTCATGCTATGTAACAGCCAAAGCACTGGGGCATAAATTATATTTAATTTGATCATATTATACTATATATACAGATATATGAAAATATAAATTTTATAGATGAAAGTGACTTGCCCAAGATCACAACTAGGAACTGAAGAAACCAGGTTAGAACAGTATTATAAGTTCTTCCTTAGTCCTTTGATTAAAAATGCTCTTTAGGGGCTGGAGAGATGGCTCAGCAGTTAAGAACACTGGTTGTTCTTGCAGAAGACCTGGGTTCAAATCCCAGCACCCACATGGCAGTTAACAACTGTCCACAACTCTATCTGACAACCTCTTCTGACCTCTGAGGGCACTGCACGACACGGGTGCACTTACCTACATGTAGGCAATACACACATACACATAAAATAAATAAAATTTTAAAAAATGCTCTTTAAATAAAATTAAAATTTACACATATTCCTTTAAAATCAATGCAATGTCTTATACCTTTGGGTTTACTGGAAAGAATCATAAAGTTGAAAATGAAATGATAATAAAATTTTGTGTCTCTAATATTTTAAACATGCATCTGTGAATTTAGAATGTGATCATCATTTTATTAATAATATTCTAATATTTATTTTTAAAACTATGTTTATGTGTGTGGCGGGGTATGTGCACATGACTGCAGGAGGCTACAGAGTTCAGAAGAAGGTGTCAGCTCCCCTGGAGCTGGAGTTACAGGAGACTGTGAGCCTCCCAATATGGAGGCTGTGAACCAAACTTGGGTTCTCTTCAAGAGCTGTATGCCCTCTTAATAGCTAAGCCATCTCTTTAGCCCCTATAATATTCCTTAGAACTCCTTTTAAAATTTTATTTGTGTGTGTATGTGCACACATGCACATGCCATGGCGTGGGTAGGAGAATAGAGGGCCACTTAACTTCCAGGAGTTTGTTCTCACCTTCCAGTTTGCAATGGCACAATATATTCTTTTTACAAGAAAACTACAGGAATATGAAGGCTTATAATGATTGTGTGTGTACATGTGCTATACATGTATGTGCAGATGAACTCACTTATGTGAGTGCATGTGTAGACAAGAGGTTGATTTCAGGTATCTTTCTCAATCACTTCTCTTATTTTTTATTTATTTATTCATTTTTCTCTCCTTCCCTCCTTCCTTCCTTCTTTCCTTCCTTCTTTCTTTCCTTCCTTCCTTCCTTCCTTCCTTCCTTCCTTCCTTCCTTCCTTCCTTCCTCCCTCTTTTTCTTTCTCTCTCTCTCTCTCTTTCTTTCTCTTTCTTTTTCTTTCATTCATCTTTTGAGACAGAATTTCCCTGTAGCCCCAGCTAGCCTGGAATTCCCTATGTAGAGCAGGCTGGCCACAATCTCACAGCGATCTGCCTGCCTTTGCCTCCCAAGTGCTAGGATTAAAGGTGTGCACCACCATTCTTGGCTTTCTCTTATTTTTTAAAGCAGAATCTCTTACTGAAACTGTTTTGGCTAGACTGGCTGGCTGGCTGATGAGTCCTGGGCTCTGCCTATTTCTGACCCCCAGAGCTGGAATTATGGGCATATGCTGCCATGACTGCCTTTTTTTTTTTTTTTTTTTTGTCTTTTTGAAGCAGGGTCTCCCTGTTGCCCCAGCTGTCCTGGAACTCACTATGTAGACCAGGCTGTCCTTGAACTCACAGAGATCCACCTGCCTCTGCCTCCCAAGTGCTGGGCCTACAGGTGTGCGCCACCACACCCGGCTCATGACTGCCTTTTATGTGGGCACTGGGGATCCAAATTCAGGCCCTCATGCTTGTTCAGCAAGCACTTTACTCACTGAGCCATCTTCCCAACTTTGCTGATTTTTTAAAGGCATTTATTTATTTTATATATATAGGTGCTTTGCCTGCATATATGTAAGTGTACCACATGTGTGCAATGCCTGTGGATGTCAGAAGAGGGTCCTGGATCCCTTGGAACTGAAATTATAGATGGTTGTTACTGCCATGTGGGTGCCGGTAACCAAGCCTGGGTCCTCTCCAAAAGCAACCAGTGCTCTTTACTGCTGAGCCATCCCTCCAAATCCCTATACTGAGTTTTTTAATTGAAAATTTTATTTATTTATTTATTTATTTATTTATTTATTTATTTATTTACTTTGTGTGTGCATGCATTCCTGTGTCATGGCATGCATGTGGAGGCCAGAGAAGAACTCGTGGAAGTCAGTTCTCTCCTTTCACTATGTGGATTCCGGAGATGGAACTTAGGTTGTCAGCCTTGGCAGCAAGTACCCTTACTGACTGAATCATCTTGCTGGCCCTATACTGATTGTTTTTAAATTTATTTTTTATGTGTATGAGTGTTTTGGCTGCATGTATATAAGTATAATATATGTGTGCAATGCCTGTGGACACCAGAAGAAGGCATAAGATCTTTAGAACTGGTGTTATGGATGGATGGTTGTCAGCCCTCATGTGGGTGCTGGGAACCAAAGCTGGTTCCTCTGGAAGAGCAGCAGGAGGAGCTCTTAACCTCTGAGTTATCTCTCTAGCCTCCCTATACTGATTTTTTTTTTTTTTTTTTTTTTTTTCGAGACAGGGTCTCCCTGTAGCCCCAGCTGTCCTGGAACTCACTATGTAGACCAGGCTGGCCTTGAACTCACAAAGATCCGCCTGCCTCTGCCTCCCAAGTGCTGGGATTAAAGGCGTGCGCCACCAGGCCCGGCTCCTATACTGATTTTTAAAGATGAAGTACATATTGTTAGAAAATGATCAGATATTCAATAGCTCAGGAACAATCATTTTCTTCTTTGCTATTTATATTGATAACTTTGGAAAAAGTTTGAATTAACTTTCTAAAACTTCTATTTTATTTTTTTGTTGTTGTTACTGGGATTTTTGTTTTGTTTTGTTTTTTTGAGACAGGGTCTCCCTGTAGCCCCAAATGACTTGGAACTCACTATGTAGACCAGGCTAGCCTTGATCTCACAGAGATCTGCCTGTCTCTGCCTCCCAAGTATTGGGATTAAAGGCATGTACCGCCAGGTCCAGCCCTAATACTTCTGTTTTTTATTAACAAAATCAACCATTCTCATTTCTTACCATTGATAATACAGAATATAAGAGCAAAGTTTACATTCATTGAAAGAATCTGAGTAAGGACTTTTAAACTTTAATATGTGGAAGTATGCATTAGAAAAAGGGTCATTTTATTTATAGGATATTGCCAGTCTGGCAATGCATTCCAGTGTATTATGTATAAAAAATGAGACTGCCAAGAGACTCTACTTTCTAGATTCCTTTTTGTAATATTAATGCATATGCCACTCAAAATCTCAACTGCAATCTCAAATAAACATGAATACTATCCTTTTGTGTTCTCACTAGATAGTAAAAACAAAACATTTGAACTGTGAAGAAGGCTTTTCTTCCATTACTGCATTTTATTACAGCTAGTAATTCAGCTATAAAGACGTTTTTAAGGCAGGACTTGATTCATTACAATATGCCACAAGCTAGGATTACAAGAAAGTCACCATATAAAGACTAAGCAGTATTTACACACTGTTCTCATTTTCAAGGCTGACCCAGTGTAGTCACATGGTTTCTAGCTAAAATGCAGCTGTCCCATTGCACAATTAGCAGTCAGATGATGGTAGATCAACATCCACATCAGTGCTTATAAAGGAGCAAACATAAAAGCATATGTATTCCTGGGGGAGGGGTGGGAGTGAGGAGTTGTTACTTAATGATTAATGGAATGATGAAAATATTTTGGAAATAATGGTGATAGCTGCACAGCCTTGTGAATATAATAAATGCCTCTGAACTGTACACTTAAAAATGGCTAGAGTGCCAAGTTTTATGTTATACATATACTTATGTTTTATATATATATATATATATTTACCACATAAAAAAGCAAGTAGGAAACAAAATTATATGTATTCCTACTTATTTAGAAGGGCTAGAATATCCAGAAGATGTTTAATAAGATTCAGTCTTGAATAATAGCTTAGCATCTGTAATTTAAATACTAAAAAAAAACAGCTGGCGAGATGGCTCAGTGGTTAAGATCTCTGGCTGTTCTTGCAGAGGACCTGGGTTCAGTTCCCAGCACCCACATGGCAGCTCATATGAAACTCTATTTCCAGGGGATCCAATACCCTCTTCTGGCCTCTGTGGGTACCAGGCACACAGGTTGTACACCTAGTCATGCAGGCAAAACACTCATACACATAAAATAAAAACAAATGAATTTTTTAAATACTCTAACTTGAATGTTTTTATTTATAAAACTTCTATAGTTGAAAACAGTATTGGAATCAATATTTTTTTAAAAAAGCATTACTTGCCTAATTGCTTTTCTTTTTTCTTGTTGATCAGAGGAGACATACACCTTCATTTCATCAGTAGCACGACAAAGCTGAACTTCTAGGTTCTAAGTGGATAGACAAGTTTCAGTGAAGTCTAATACAGCAAAAGAAAATCTTAGAAGGGGTTGGCAAGATGGCTCAGTGGGTAAAGGTGCTTGCTGCCAAGCCTGACGACCACGTTCAATCCCCAGAACATATATAGTGAAGGAGGGAACCTACTCTTGCAAGTTGTCCTCCAACATCCACACCTATTCCATGGCATATGCACACATACACATATGCACACATGCACATATGCACACATACATACTAAATAAATAAACGAATGTAATAATTTTTTTTGGTCTTTTTGAGATAGGGTCTCCCTGTAGCCCCAGCTGGTCTGGAACTCACTATGTAGACCAGGTTGGCCTTGAACTCACAGAGATCCACCTGCCTCTGCCTCCCGAGTGCTGGGATTAAAGGCATGAGCCACCACGCCCAGCAAATGTAATAATTTTTAAAAGAATTTATTATTTTTATTTTATGTATATGAGTATATTGCCTGCATGTGTGTAAGTGCACCCGTATCATGCAGTGCCAAAAGAAGGTCAGAAGAGGATTTTGGATTTCCCTGGAACTGGAGTTATAGATGGTTGCTAGCTGCCATGTGGGTGCTTGGAATTGAACCCAGGTCCTCTGCAAAAGCAGCCAATGCTCTTAACTGCTGAGCCATCACTTCAGCTCCTGTAATAATTTTTTTATCTCATAAATTTTCTATTTAATTTTATCTTACCTTAATCATACAATTTGTATAATGGTATTTACTTTCTTCTTGAAGACATTCTTCACGGAGTCCTCGAACTTCCTACAATATATATTTTAAATGGGTAACAAATTATTGAAAGAATAAGACAGAAAAGTTTATTTTAAATGTATCACAAAAGAGCTACCATCAGATTCATGTCCTCTGCAGCTGTAAGCTTGCTTACTCTAACAGAAACAAGCTACAAATTTTTCCCAGAGACTACTCACATCACTAAACCTGCAGCTTCAGTTATTCATTTAAGTTCTACAGTGTGCCAGAACTCTTCTAAGAGCTGTAGACACAGCAGTGAACAAGAGAGTCAGATCCTCACTCTCATTCAAGGAGGAAAAGGGCATCAACAAGGAAATAGTAATGAAGAATATTTTTGCACTGGCACACACCTTCAATCCTAGGACTTGGGAGGCAGAGTCAGGCAGATCTGAGTTCTAAAAGCTTGGTCTACATAGCGAGTTCCAGGCAAACCAGGGTTATACAGTGAGACTGTCTCGAGGAAAAAAAAACAGAAAAAAAAAAGTTTTTTCCATAGGAACAAGTGCTATAAAGAAAACTCAGTAATAGAATATGATGGAGAGTGGAGAGATAGGGAGTCAGACTGGTGAAGACAGTGGGAAACGTTAAGTAGAGTGATAGAATGACTGGAGAAGACCTTGAGGAGGAGTTGACATTTACTGAGACCTACATAGTAACAATGAGACAGCAGAGCAAATACAGAGGGCAGAGAGAAAAGTACAGGAAAAAGCCTGGAGGTGAAAATGAGGCCAGTTTGGAGTTCGGGTACAAGATCAGGGTGCTGGAGCTCATGGAGGAGGAGTGCAGTCAAGGATATGCTGGTGATGAGGCAAGTGGGGCCCAGCATAGTACAATTTGGGGGTAGAGTTCTATTTCAAGTGCAGTGGCAAGCTAATGGAGAGTGGCTTTGGCTGCTCTGCTTAGCCAAGAATGGAAGCAGAGGAGTAGGCACAAGGCTACTATGGGAGTCTGGGCAAGAGATGATAGGCCCTGGGCTTTGGTGCAGTGGTGCAGATGGGAAAATTCAGTGTGTACTTATAAAATTTAAAGAAATAAAGATCTCTGGAGCTTAGGAGGCAGGCTAGGAGATAAGATAAAGACAAAAATCTTTTGACACTGAGGTAGTGAAAATGTGCATTCAACAGCATTTTTTTTTTCTAAAGTGTTATAATAAAAACTCTCTTCTTACCTGTTCTAATTTGGACCGATTGCTCTCAAGGCCTGCTGCACAGCTATCATACTGGGACTTCTTTTCGTCACACTCTTGGGTTAGTTCCTAGTAATGAAAAGGGCAAATGATTAAGTGAAAAACAAAGGCATAAACTGTGGCTCTGAAACAATGCATGCCCTTGTCAGTCTTGTAACTTAATCCTAAGCTTCTTGGCATACTTAAGAGTTATTTATACAACAATTGGACATTTGAGAATTATGACAGATGGAGGCGCTGATAAGAATAATAGCTACCATGTACTGAGCTGTGTGCCAGGTTCTTTCTTAGCAGCTGAGGACACAGCAATGAACAAAACAGCATAGGCCTCAACTAACATCCAGAGAGGTACACAGGCTGCTGAGTGCTTCGACAGATGAATGCAACGTGAACAGGAGCACACAGGACTTTCAGACTTAATACAAGCTTGGGGATCAGTGGGGATAACTTCCTGGAGAAATTGATATCTAAGTTGAGAATGAAGGATTACTCAGAATGGCTAGAGGAAGGTGAACAAGGGAAAGGAGTATTTTTTTTTTAAAAGAACACTGTGTATGGAGGATTGGAAGCAGAGGAGAATAAGAAAAGTTAAGGAACTTATGAGTAGCTTAGACTGGAATGGGTCTGGGAAGGGGTATAAGAAGAGGATGAAGACTTATGTAGGGCCTGATCAGAACTTTGTTAATTGAGGATATCAGAACTGGGCCCTGGACAATGCCTAAATCTCACAACAATGACCCAAGGAGGTACTATTACCTCAATACAATGCTTGGAGAACATTCAGGAAGGCCATGTGCCTTGCCAAAGATTATATTGCTGAAAAGGGTGGAGTCAGAATTTGATTTCAGGCTGTTTTATTTAGTATTTTCAAAGTTTATTCCAATATATTATTTTGAATGAGATAGTCTGAAAATCTGCTGCAAATACTTAAGATGCTAAAGTTATCAGAAAATGCTTGTTAAGCCCGCTCAAACATCCTTTAAAATCCACAGCAGAATTGAATTCTCAAGGAAGAGGAATCACCAGGACTAGAAACAAGGATTGACGGTGGCTCTTTTGGGGAAGTCAGTCCTTATGGCAGAGGAACAGCAGTATCCAGGCAGAGCAGAATAAACAATTAGGCCTGTAAAGGATGGTAAGTTAGAGCTGAGGACTCCAGCTTGGGTACTTGTGAGTAAATACCAGTCTGAAAATGACCTTGGTTTCCTTGGAAACAGGAGAGTTACCATAGATGAGTAATGTGTGTGCTCTTTGCTGTGCAGGACTACATATGTGCTGGGGTATCTAGAACAGTTTAAAGATTGAGAGAAAGGGGGGTTGTGGCTTTTATGTATTAAAATGAGATATGAAATGACTCAATGGGCAAAGGCACTTTTGCCACACCTGGCATACCGAGTTCAATCCCTGGGATGCACGTGGTAGAAAAAGAGAACTGACTTCAGCAAGATGTCCTTTGACCTGTGTACATTTATGAGCATACCCCCCCCCCGGCCCCGTGCACACACAATCAAACATATGAATGTATAAAATAAATAGCTATGACTGTCTAGGGTAATAGTCATATATTTCCTGACTGGGAGAAGGGGCAGCAGCTCTGTGCATTAAGATCCTGGACCTCTCAATAAGATGAAAATGCTACAGTTGATGAAAACCTTTTCCAACCTGTGAACCTTATGGCCAATCAGGATACAGCTTGGATGCTATGGAGGCAGAAGAAAAAAAAGAGGCTTGAACTCAGACAGGCTTGAGCTTTGGATTTCCCTACCTACATGCTCTAAGAACTTACAAGCCTGAGATATTAGATCAAAATTAGCTCCTAGCTTATGACAGTTCTAAAACACTGGGCAGAATAACTACAAAACCATTATGAGGGACATACCTAGCTGTCAGGATTCAAGAGACAAAACCCACTGGGTACTGGGCATATGCCTGGAATCCTGGCATTTAAGAGGCTGGGAAAAGAAGATAATGAGTCTCACAGTAAGCTCCTGTCTCAAACAGTAACAGAGCCAGGAGCAGTGGCACACTCCTTTAATCCTAGCACTCAGGAGGCAGAGGCAGGAGGATCTCTGTGAGAGCCAGGCAAGCCTAGTCTACAAAGGAAGTTCCAGGCCAGCTGGGGCTACTGAGACTGTCTCAGAAAAAACAAACAACAACAACAAAAAAACCCCACAGATACACAGACACACACACACACAGACAGACACAGACATACACAGAGATTGACTAAAGGCACAAACTTGCACATACACACACTAATAATAAATAAAAAATTTTTAAAGGAAATGGAATGTCAGAAGAAGGAAACTAGAGCTTAGAAGGAAGGGTCAAGTAAAAGCAGCAATGGTGAGAACACTCAGAGTAGGGTAAACCTAAAAAGGAAAGGACTGTAAAAGGAGAGATCACAAGAGTAAAAAGATCCTGACAGACACTTTCAGAGAGGGAGATGTAAGGAAATAAAACACCAGAGACCAATGGCATACATGTAAGTGGGGAGAGGGTATTAAATTATTCTAAAGTCCATGTATTGGCAAAAGATGCTAATTAACCTTAGTCTTTATTAAAGACAAGAATATACGCTAAAAACTTAAGAGAGAATTATAATCAAAATAGAAGATAGAACAAAACATAAAGGAAGAAAATAAGAGCAGAAACAGGTATATGTAATCGAAGGTAGGAAAGAAATTAAGCAAAGAAAAAGTATATAGGATATGCAAAAGAGAAAAAAACCCAAATATATCAACAATCAGAGTAAATGTAAATGGGACTAAAGCACCAATTAACACATTTTCAAAATGGATGTGCAGAACAACAGCCATCAACATCCAACTATATGCTATTTATGAGACATGTATAGGACAAAAATAAGAACAAAGAAAGCTGAGAGAAAATAAAAAGATGTACCAAGCAGTAAGAAATCTGGCTTGTCTGCTTTAATAGCAGGGAAAATGAGTCGCCTAGGCAAAAAGCATTACCAACCGTAAAGACAGTTAAAAAATAATGCCAAAACATATAAATCACGAGGGAGGGTTTAGGATTTGTTTATCTGCTTTTGGAAGGAAGGTTTCCAAGTAAAACAAATCTAACAATGAAGTGGTCATCTTTACTGTTTTGTTTCTATTCTGTTTTGGGGTGGATTTTTTTTGTTTTGTTTTGGTCTTTTTGAGACAGGGTCTTGCTGTAGTTCTATCTGGTGTAGTACTCACTATGTACTCCAGGCTGGCCTTGGTCTTACAAAGATCGATCTGCCTCTGCCTCCCAAGTGTTGGGACTAAGGCTTGCCCCACCATGTCTGACTCTGTTCTATTTTTTGAAACAGGGTCTTGCTATGTAGCCCAGGCTGGTCTCTAACTTATAATACTCCTGCCTCAGGCTTTTGAGCAATGGGATTTATAGGTGTGTACCACTACACTTAGCTCTATTACCCTATTTTTTTGCTGTGTTTTGTGGGTTTTGCTGTTTGTTGTGAGACAGGGTTTATCCCTGGCTCATCTGGAACTTGGTATATAGATCAGACTGGCCTTGAACTCACAGATCCATCTACCCATGCCTCCTGAATGCTTGGATTACAGAAGTGTGACACCATTCCTGGCTCATCTTCCCCCCCCCTTTTTTTTTTCCTTTTTGAGACAGGGTCTCCCTGTAACCCCAGCTGTCCTGGAACTCACTATGTAGACCAGGCTGGCCTTGAACTCACAGAGATCCGCCTGCCTCTGCCTCCCGAGTGCTGGGATTAAAGGTGTGTGCCACCACCCCCAGCTTCTTTCCTATTTTTCAGTGTATAATTTGATAGCATTAAGTACATTCACAGTGTTGTCTAATATGATGACCACTACCCATCTCCAGAACCCTGCATTTGAAAAGTTTTTGGTGAGACTTTTTACCCATTAAACACAATTCACATTCACCAGCAATTTTTAAAAAACATTTTATTTACTAGTTCTTATCTTATTTTATGTGTATACATGTATTGCCTGCATGTAGGTAAGTGCACCCTTGTCATGCAATGCCCATGGAGGATAGAAAAGGCCTTCGGATCCTCTGAAACTGGAGTTATGGACAGTTGTTAGCTGCCATGTGGGTGCTGGGATTTGAACTTAGGTCTTCAGCAAGAACAGCCAGTGTTCTTAATCTCTAAGCCATCTCTCCAACCCCAGCAGCAAGTTTTGAACAACATTCACAAAAGCTGATCACATGGAGAATCATGTATTCAACAAATGAGAAGTATACATTCTTTTAATGATCAAGTTACTAAAAATTAGGCTGGTCTTGGAGCTCCTCTATAGTCACTTTTAACCCTTATAGACCGCAAAGGTATTCTTTAAAAATCCTCAAGGAAAGAAACCATGATCTACTAAGCTGTTGTGAAATATGTAAACAAATTCAAGAAAATGCATCGGGGCTGTTCTCTTCTGAGTCTTTTTGAGGCTTCAATTAGAGGACAAGTTACAGACAAAAAGAAGTGCAGGCATGGGAAAGAGCAGTAGATCAATGGTTACTGACCTAGTGTTAAAAGTGAAATGGGATCTGGGGTAATAGAACAGGATGCAAATGCTGTACCCTCATAGGGTAAAAATGACCCAAAGTCTGAGAGAAGAAAATGGAAAAAAAGGTGGAAGATAGAATAAGGAAGCTGGGTTTTTTTTTGGGGGGGGGGTTGTTTTGTTTTGTTTTTTTCTCTCTCTCTTTAAAAACTTGCTAGGTGGGAGAATATCAAAGGGCATTTTTTCCAGCTAACGAAAGCACATCACAGTGTAAGCATAATCAAAGCAAAAAGCGAACACTAAGAAAGGCAACAATGGAACCAACAAACACCTGCTGCCAGAGGATTCAGGTGGGAAGAAGTTAAAAAGATGAAACACGGGGCTGGAGAGATGGCTCAGTGGTTAAGAACACTGACTGTTCTTGCGGAAGACCTGGGTTCAAATCCTGGCACCCACATGGCAGCTAACAACTGTCCATAACTCCAGTCCCAGGGGATCTGACAGCCTCTTCTGTCCTGTCCTCCTCCGGCATTGCATGACACGGGTGCACTTACTTACATGCAGGCATGACACTCATACACATAA